CTCTGTCCAAGCCCCGGAAGCCTCTGGACCGCCCTCCTCTGTGAGCTGCTTCCTCGTCTTCCACGCACGATTCCCCGAGAATCGCCAGGGAAACTGCATTAGGCAGCGGTGGAGGCTGGTTCTGCCTTCCGGAGATTCTGACACCGAAAGGCGCGCACAGGACTCTGGATTTCAGTGTGTCCCAGGGGACTGTGATGCCGAGGGCCCCAGGACAGCCCCGTCCTAGGTGACGCACTGGGAAGAGATCACAGCGCCGCGTGGGACGAGTGAAGGCGTGCGTGTGGGGACAGCTAAGGACTCCCTGCACCCTCCTGTCACAGGGCCTCTAACCAGGCGGCTTCCTTGCCTGCCCTGCTGTGCAACCGGCTGATCTTGAATTCACTCGAGGCTCACCGAGGGTCGGATTTTTGTTTGTTTGTGCTCCGCTGGCGCCCTCCTCCCGGGGAGGCACCTCCTTGGGGACAGGCGCTGTTTGCTCAGCCCTACAGGCTCCGGGCCCCTGGAGAGGCAGCGCCGCCCCATCGCGCTGGGCGCAGGCTTTGTAGTGTCGACTCACTGTTTGCATTTCGGGCTCTAAGGAGAGGGTTGCTCCTAATTAAAGGCGTAAATGCTTTAATCCCTGGCCTGGAGGCTTCCCATGGCGCATTAGCCGTATTAGGAAGGAAATGGATTGTAATCCCTTTAATATAAGCCTGGAGGAACTCAGGGGGCTTCCAGTTGGAGAAAAGAATTTCCTCCTGTGAGTCCACAATACTAACAAGCTGAATTTGCATAAAGAGAGTCTTGGGCCCAGAGGGGTGGCGTGGGAGAAACTCGGGCTGGAGGGCTGTGGGGGCTTCTCCAGCAGTTCCCGAGCTCTCACCTCGCCGGTGCAGGAGCCAAGCCAGGAGCTGCATGCCTTCACCCTCACCATTGGCATCCAGGCCTGCAAAGTGGAGTCAGGCTCCTGTCAAAAGGAAGCATCTCTTAGGGGCGCGCCCTCCCTGTAGGAGGAGGGGAGGGGAGGGCCACAGAAGGATCCCGCCAGTGTCGCCTCAGAAGCTTTGTCTTTGATTATTGGATCCTGGCCACACATCTTTTTGCATCCTCTTAAATAACGTTCATCTTAATGTAACCATCCTTTTAGGCCCGTGTCGGTTTCCGTAATGCAATTAGTTCATCTTACCCTGCAATTTATATGATGTGACTGAAACTGTTTGGTTTCATCCCCAGCCCTTTTTTCTTTTTAATTTTGAGACAAATTCTCACCAAGTTACTCCGGCTAGGCTTGAATTTGGGATCTTCCTGTCTCAGCCTCCCTCAGTGCTGGAATTACAGGCTTGTGCTACTACTCCTGGCTATGTGATTGAAACTTAAAAAACAAAACAGGATAGATTTATTTTTATCCCTTACAAATGTGAAAACAGCACCGCCCCCCATGCTGTTAAATCAAACATGAACCATGAAAGTTTTAACTGCGCTGTCCCTTAGGAACACAAGGTGTATTTCAGTGGGAAAATGTAAAAACTAGGTACCACGTGGCGGTTTGCACCTCTCGGTCTGAGCTTATGAAAGCAGAGGGTGCTGCCATCTGGGCTGGAGGAAGTCTGCACACGCACATCGTAGGTCCCACCCGGAGGACTCAGAGGCCCTTGGGAGCAAGCGCCCAGCTGCTTCTGCAAGCTGCTGCGGTGGAGCCTGGAAACCCTGCAGAAACGCAGCGGCAGCAGAGGTGGCAAAGCAAGGGCACCCAGTAAGCCTCTGCAGCGCCTAGGCTGTTACTCCCTCGCCACATGCCCGCCGGCATTGCGGCTGCCTCCCAGAGGAGCACAGGCACCAGCTGCTCACTTGGAACCCCGGGCGTCGGGAGCTGCCTCCCTGGGCCTGGCCCTGCCGCTTCCTGGTACTGAATCAGTCCTACGAGCCCACTTCCAAATGCCTCTTGAGCCCGCCCGCTTCTCTCCAGAGCCGCTGGCACTTCGTCCAGCCTACGCCATCAAGCGGCGGGAAGGATGAGGTCAAGGACCCTCCTGCACCTGTGCGAGAGGTCCCAGCACCTGTGCGAGAGGTCCCAGCACCTGTGCGAGAGGTCCCAGCACCTGTGCAGCCTCGCCCAGAGCTGCACTGGTCCCTGCCCAGCCCCAGCCTGGAGTGGAACCCTCTGTCTCCTGTAGGATGGAGTCACATGCCCCTACCTCAGGCAAACCCTCTTTGCTCACCCCAAGACCGTATCACACCCTTACCCTGTTTTCCTCCTCCATGGCCTTTGTGATAATGGTAACTGCAGACTTCTTTGTGTGCTTATTGACTTCTTTTTTTTTTTTTTTTGAGACAGAAGCTCACTTCATTGTTCCAGCTGGCCTTAAACTCACTATGTAGCCCATGCTGGCCTCAAATTTATGGTGATCCTCTACCTCAGCCTCCTGACTGCTAGGATTACAGGTGTGCACCATTTTGCCTGGCTTGTGTGCTTACTTATATATTTGCTGCCATTCTACTGTAACTTCCTGAGGGCATAGACCATAATTTTATTACTATAATTCCAGGCCCTCACATAATGCCTGACATCAAGAAAGAACTCAGGAGTTATGAGACAGTATTGACATGATGAATACTAATTAAGTATTAATTCTAGTACTTCTTTCCCAGACACATGTTTGACTTCCTACCCTCTTTCCAGGTAGATGGTACATCTCTGTTCACAGGTGGTCACCACCTTCTATCAAGCTCACATGATTAACCCAAGAGCAGCCAGGCATGGTAGCACATGCCTGTAATCCCAGCACTCGGGAGGCTGAGGCAGGAGGATTGTTGTGAGTTCGAGACCAGCCTGTGCTATAAAGTGAGCTCAAGGCCAGCCTGAACTGCATAGTGAGACTCTGTCTCAAAAAGACAAAAAAAAAAAAAAAGATTTACCCAAGAGCATAAGGACAGGAGGTGCAGACACACGTTGCGATGGTATAGCCTATTACACACCTGGCTGTGCGGTCACATATGTACGCACTGGATTGCTGCTCCCTGGGCCTTGGTGAACAAACCACAGAAGATTAAGTCAAGCACAAGAGAAAATGTGCACTTAAGAGATGTAAACACATGACGTATGAGGTTCTTGCCAGCAAAATATGACATGTTTTGTCATAAACTTTTTCAGTAAATAGGACTACATTAAAATAACAACAGTATAGCAAATGTATAACTATAACAGTCATTTATTATCATCAGCAAATAATATATACTGGGCATACTATATTGCTATACTTTTTTTGATACAGGGTCTCACTATGTAGTCCAGGCTGGCCTTAAACTCACTATGTAGCCCAGGCTGGCCCAGAACTCATGGCAATCCTCCTGCCTCAGCCACCTGAGTGCTGAGATTACAAGTGTGTGTGTGCCACCATGCCCCACTTATATTTGTACACTTTTATGTGACTGGCAGTGCAGTACATTTGCCTACTCTGGCTGTGTCACTGACTGACCTGTCATCATGTGGCACATCACTGTATCAGGATTTGAACCCAGGACTCCAAAACCTACTCAGTAATATGCGAAAAATATAGGCATGAGGCACAAAAATCCTCTGGTTTTGCCTGAGTTATCCTCTCTGTCCCATATCTGTGGCTGTTCTGTTCTTTGCTGTATTCTTTGCCACCTCTTTTAGTTTTATTAAATTCACAGGCACTCCTGAAATCCCTCTGTTTAGATTGCAGGCACAGAGGGGTCACAAGATGGGTAGGATCCAGTTCTCCTCAAGATCAAGGGCTGGGGTGGAGCTCAGGGCTTGGCATGTGCAAGATCCGGGGCTTACTCTTTCTCTCTTTTTTTTTGAGACAAGGTCTCATTATGTAGCCAAGGCTGGCCCCAAACTCATGGCGATCCTCCTGCCTCAACCTCCCAAGTGGTGGGATTATAGGTGCACGCCACCACACCGGACCATCCTGGGTTTACCCCAAAGCAAAATGATAGCTCAGTGTTAGGAAAAATAACCACCTCAGTTCTCAGTCTTAAGAAGGTTAGAACTGTTTCGGCCTGAAGTTACAGAGACTTCACTGCAATTGGCTTAGCATGACAAGGGATGGATTGGCTTACGTGCACTGCAAAGTGAAGATGTTTGTCAAGCTTCAGGTGTGGTTGTACCTAGGGGCTCGATCTCCATCTCATGGGTCTTTTTCTCTGTGCTGGTTTGACTCTTGGCCAAGCTCTCTGCGCCTGGTGGCAAAGACAACTTCTAGTGGCCCCAGGCTCACATGGGTCTTGTACCCACTGTCTCAGAAAGAGAGGGTCCTTCCCACGCACAGGGGCGGGGTGCTCATCAGCCTAGCTTGGGTCATAGGCTTCTCCCTTATCACCGCCATGGCCCTGAGGGTGGAATCTGCTGGCTGCGTGCCCATGAAGAGCTGCCACAGGCTGGCACTGCCCATGCACAGTCCTTAAGGGGAAGGAATCCTCTGCTGGCTGCTTGAGATGCTGGGCGGGCAGCAGTGTCCGTGTCCTGGCACAAAGCGAGTGCTGGGGGAATAGTGCTGGGGAAGCGGAAGGCGTCAGAGGCTCCAGTGCAATCGGGGAAGCTTCCTGGATGAGGAGGCCCGAAGCAGCGGGGAAGATTACATTTACCCTTTTCACCACTTGGAAGCACGTGGCTCGGTGGCATCCAGTGCACTCATGTTGCCGTGCGACCATCTCCGGCTCCATTTCCAGAACTTCTTCATCTTCAGTCTGAAACCCTGGCCCACGAAGCATCCACTCTCCTCCCGCTTCCCCCGGGCCCTAGGAGCCCTTCTACTTTCTGTCTCTCTGAGTCCGGCAGCCTGATGGACCGCATCTAAGTGGAACCGCTCATCACTTTTCTTACTGTGGCTGCTTTTTTCCTGCTTAGCGCAAGGTTTGCAAGGTTGACCCGTGTTGCGGCAGGGACAGGATGAACAGAGGCAAAGCTGGGCCAGGGGGCTGAATAGCACCCACATCACAATGACCAGGGCCTGTGACAGAACGGCCTCCTCACACAAGTCAGCTCATCTCTGTGACAGCTGTGGGACGCGGCAAGGGGACCCTCCGAGCGACAGGGACAGCCTGGGCTGCAAGGGCAGGAGCCGCCTTGGCCTTGGAGGTAGGAGGGGTAAGGGGTACCCTGAACTGCAGCAGGTCCCAGCGCAGAACAGGAGCTCTCCAAACACAGAGAGCAGGTGACCAAAGGGCCCCCTGAGGTCTAGCCACTACCCTGCTGGCCACGGCCTGCAGACCAGAGTCCGGCCCAGGGCAGGGTCCCTCAGGTGTGGAACACAGTCCTCACCAGGAACTTAGGGCCCCAGGTACAACAACGGGGAATTCACCTGGGACCTCAGGGGGCTGAGGAGGAGCCTCAGGGAGCCTCAGGGCTGGAACTTCTTCAAGCTGTTGTGTTCCCACGGACTGCAGAGCCCGAGAGCAGCTTCCCTCACCTCTGCTCTGAGCTGGCGGGGCTGCTGAGTCCTCTGCCTGTTTACTCCTCTAGCTGGGGGCGGGGGAGGTCTGTGTCCCTAGGACACCCTCCCCCTTCCGTGCACCTTACCCTCCGTGGTGTTGTCGGGGGGCACTTACACCCAGGCATCAGTGGTTACTGTGAACCCAAGGCTTGTGTTTGCCAAAAAGATGATTGTTCAACATTTACCCACACTACCTGGTTCACTGGTAAAGCTGATATTTTAGGAGTCCTAAATCCTCCTGAGTCCCACTGCATCCCCTTTTTCCAGGAAACCCTGGTCCACCAGCCCTTCTATCCCTGGGCCTCTTCCAGCCCTGGATGATGGGTAATGTGCAGGGTGGGACCCGGGGCAGGTGGGCAGACGGGCAAAGAGGACTGGGACAGCTGTGCTTGGCTGGCACAGCTCTGAGGATAGCAGCTGCTTTGCCCCCTTGAGGGAAAGCAGGGATAACCGGCTTGTCTGTCTAGGTCCTTGGCCATGGCGGGTGTGGTGTACCCCAAACAGGTGAGTGTTGTGGGTTTCTGTCCCTGTGATGATCTCAGGGCCAGGAAGCCTCAGCAAGCAGGGGAGGCCGAGGCTCTTTGGGGTTCCATCTGCTCATCATTGTAGAATGATTTCTTTTCAACAGGCAAAGGAGAGCTAAGTGTTCACAGTGCTGTGGGGTTTTGTTTTTGATTTTTGATTTAGCATGGATTTATTAGGCTCCCGCAGCATGCCTACATCTGTGTCGGACTTTGGGGCTGCAGAGGTGTCTAAGATAATGTCCCGATGAAGTGTAATTCACCAGCTCCTTTCCCACGCACCCCAGTATGTGCTGCCACTCGGGCTGCAAACTCTGCTATCAAAGCTGAGGGGGAAGGGGACAATTCTTGGAAGTTGGAGAACAAAAGGGGCGGGGTGGCACTTAACCCGGGTCTGGAAAAGACACATAGGATTCCAAGTTGTTAGGAACCCGCTCCAGGAAAGAAGTGAAGGTGAGACAGAGGGTAAGGGAGGTGGTCTCAGGGGTAGAAGCCAGGTTCTGAGGGCTCCTAATGCCACCCAAGTTGGCCTATGTCCTAGAAACAATGAGAAGCCAGCCAACGGCTTTATGTAAAACAACGACAAGATGCAACTCCTCTTTTGCATTACCTGCTGTCCTCCAGGGCCCTGTGGATTTGGACATCTACCAAAGCTCCTACATGGTAGACTATCCGCACTACGGGGAGCACAGATACTCCACGGCCACGCCGCAAGAGGTAGGAAGGCACGCGGGGCTTGTCGCTCATTCCGCTGTCCCCTGCACTGGTACGGATTTCATTTTTCATTTGAATGTGGACGTGGTGGCACTTACTTAAAATAATATTGAAGGCCACGTGACCTGGTGTATAGGTCTTTTGTATGTCCATGAACATGCATGTACTGAAATGTACACAGAAGACAAGCCATGCACACAAAAGCTTGTAAACAACGCAAATGCATAGCTTAAAGAACACTGATAAAACACTGCTTGCACCGTTATCAGGCAGCTTCGGACACAGCAAGGAACAGTACCTTAGAGGCTCTGTGTCCTGCCCTCGCTGCCTCCAGAGGAAGCGGACACTCTGGGTTTGAGCTTCATAGCTCCTTTGTGTCTCATTTTCTAAAAATAGTTTTACTCTGTACATGTGTATTACTTTTTTCCAGTACTGGGAATCGAACTCACGACCCTGCACTTGCCACGACCTCGCACTTGCCAGGCAGGCACTGTGCCACTGAGCTAAATCCCCAGCCCCCATATGTATTACTTTAAACAAATTGTTTAGTTTTGCTCTCCCCTACTTGATATTCATTAGAGTCTTTGTACTCTTGCATGGCTTCTACACCGAAACATTGTATCACTACAGGAGTTCACTAGAGGAACAGGGTATAATATTATATACAGTGTATAATAGTCATAGGATTTACAAGGTAAGCTTACCGTGGCCACCCACAGAGTCATATATGAGGATGTAAAGGGTCTGTCTTTGCACTGGAGGTCGGAAGGATCTATGCAAAGGTCAAAAGCCTGGAGCTCACTGCAGAGTCCAGTAAGAGGTGAGAGTCTGTAACAGGAAACTGAAGAGTCTGCACTGGAAGCCTAGAGATGAATATGCAAAGGCAATGGCAAAGACTAGAGCACCTCCAAAGGGGCAGAAGCGGCACTTCCTTCTTCCTTCCCTTTTTATTCCATCCAGGCTGCAAGCCTATTGGTTGGTGCCAGCCACACCCAGTGTGGGTCTCTCAATAAGTCCACCATCCAGCTATACCTACCATGGGAAACAGAAACATTGAAACATCACCCAGGATTTGGAGGCAGATTTATTTACATTGACCGGCACTGACAAGGAATCAATCCTTATAAAAAATGTCAGGCCCTGATCCTTGGTAGTTTGGGGCTTATATGGGACACGCAAGCAGGAAGTACAGAGGCAGAGTATCTGGTGGTTATTCATTGGTTCTTACAGTGTACATCATAGTGACCAGCTATGCATCATAATGATCAGCTGTTTCTAAGAAACAGAAATAAGAGGAACTGTAACAGGAACTGAAGTAAACTGGACATTACATGGGTAACTAACAGAAACTGAAGTATTCTGGCAGACTCTTGGGGGGCATTTTCTACTACACACCCAGAGCTATGCGAAAACAATCAACCAGGCATTGCTTATTCAAGATGACCCCACAGTTAGCTATGACAAGCCATATGGTGTATTAATCTCCTCTCTGCTGTTCAGCATTACATCGCACACATATGCCGTACATATGTAGCTGTCCCTTCTCCTGTAGGTGGATGCTTGAATTACTTATTTTCTCCCTACTCTCCACTCCCAAATTCTGTGGTAAGGATGAGATGCACCCTGATGTGTGTGTGTGCATGCTATTCACAAGCTAGTAGGTAAACTCACCCTTTTCCAATGTTCACATTATTGCCAGCAATGGAAGTTCACTGTGTCATTCTGCAATCTTGCCATTACTTGGCAGAGTCAGCCTTTTAAATTTTTACCATTTGGTAGATGCAAGATCATATATTCCTGTGGTTATAATTTTCAAATCACTGTTTATGTGGATATTTATTCTGTGAAACTCTGTTCCTGATTTTTGCCTATTTTTTTCTGTTGGATTACTTTTTTTCTTTTTCTTATTAATTTGCAGAAATCCTTTTTTATTTTGGAATGCAGATCAAATTCAAGGGTATGCTATCACTGGGCTATCTCCCCAGCCTTGTTTATTTTATTTTTTAATTTTGAGAAAGCTTTTCACTAAGTTGCCCAGGCTGGCCTTGAATTTATGATCCTCCTGCCTCTGCCTTCATAGTAACTGGGATTACAGGCATGCGCTGCCCTGCCCAGCTGGAGAAATTTCCAAAATATCCTAGGCCTCTTTCATTGGTCAGTTGCACATGTGACAAGATTTTTTTAGTGAACACAAATTCTTGTTGTTAATATAATCAGACTTAGGCAACCCATTTGGGACCCCTCCTGTCTCTCAGGGGCTGTTACTATTCCCCATTTCTATTCTCAAGCAAATTTTCCTACCAATCATTGTTCCTTAGAATTCATTCTTTAACTTTGGGGAACATGAACTCAGCATATCTGACATCTAGCAGGGTAGGGGTTACATATTCTTCCCAATAGCGTCTTGGAGGTCCCACTGAGAACTTTGGAAGAAGAAGGAATTCAACTAGTAATGCAACCATGATTGTTTGGAGACCAGAACTAGAAAAGTAACTGGGATAAGAAGACAGCCAATATTTGGGCCCTGGCCCTCCAAGTTCAATAAGGACTCAGAACCTATGGAGTTTTTGTTGTTGTTGTTTGTTTGTTTTGTACCAGGAATTGAACTCAGGACCTTGTGCTTGCCAGGCAGGTGCTTGTACCACTGAGCTATATCTCCAGCTGGACTCAGAACCTGAGGGGATATTTTCTATAGGATCCTACAACTTTGAAGCTGCCAAACTCCAGATGATCATGCAGATGGAACCAACAACAAATGTGCCAGACTCCTTTTAATGGGATCCACTTGTAGAAGATTGACCTTGTAAAGGGAATTTATAATGGCTAAATAGAAATGTGACTTCTGGCCAAGACCTATTAGATTAGCTCTCTGGAGAAGGCCCCTGACTGTGGTTTCCCCTACACTGATCCTTCTCAGCTCGAAGCAGCTAGATAGAAACTACCCCCGCCTTCTCCCTTAACTGCATTTAGGGATAGCTCTTCAGAGGGGGGATATTATAGACAGCTAAGTTAGGTAGAAATATTATGGGCAGTCAGATGGGGCTAGACCCTCGAGCAAGTCAGTGCAGAAGCTGAGAACACAGTCCTGCTGTGGCTAGAGGCGCATCTGAAGGAGATTAAAGTCACAATGGCCAGATTTACGTTCATCCCTAAGGAAGCTTACGGTCATTGGTGGCACCCTTTTGAAATTTCCCATATAAATAAACCATTCTCTCATTAGAGGTGGGTCATCCTCTCCCAACCACCAAGATTAAGACTAGTAAGACTAAAACTATAGATTATCATCCAAGGTTAATGATGTCATCCACATGCCCCTGCTACGACTGGATCAATATTAGCTAAGTGGCTATAGTTGTAATCTTATTCATCAGTTGACCCATGTTATACCCACCCTTTATGACTTTGCTCTATAAAACCTTCTCAGAGAAGTGGGCTCTCACTGACAACCCATTTAGGACTCCTCCTATCTTTCAGGAGCTATTCCTATTCCCCATTCTTTTTTTTTTTCTAATGGTTTTATCTTCTTTGTCTTTTTGAGACAGAGTCTCATTATGCAGTTCAGGCCAGTTTTGAACCCATTTTATAGCACAAACTTGCAATGATCCTTCTGCCTCAGCCTCCTGAGTGCTGGGATTACAGGTGTGCACCACCATGCCTGGCTCCTATTCCCCATTCTTATTCCCCTTTCTGATAAATTTCTATTCTTAAAAAAAGGTAGGGAGGGGCTGGGGATTTAGCTCAGCAGCACAGCACCTGCCTGGCAAGCTCAAGGTCGTGAGTTCGATTCCCAGTACTGGAAAAAAAACAAAAACAA